TTTGAATGTGTGTAGTATGTAATCAACTTATTTAGGGTGTGCAAAGTAAATGAAAGCATTTCTGCAAATCAGAATGCTTGACAACCAAAATTAATTGTATATTTTTACGCGAATGGGTGCCCTTTTAAGCACTTGCTGTTTCCGGATGTCACTCTCGGAGACTCGTTTGTGAAATTGAATCCCCCTGCTCCGAAAAGTAAAGACAACGTGGGTGTGGAGTGCACTTGTGCGTGTTTCCACTGTAATTGTAGCTGAGTGAATAAACAAATTAGGCTACGTGGCACTTTGGAGCGAACACGCATGGGAATGTATGTGAGGTTCAACTGAGGCACATGTTTATGGAATGACGAGAACAATATTAGCCTATGACCAAATAATTCTGATCGTCGAAGCGAAGGATGGGTTGAGCCAGAACACTGCTTAGATGGGCGACCATGCATCATGCGCAACAGGTTGTTACAGGCTGCGGCAGGGCCACAAATGATGAGCAGCAGAGGGCACTGCAAAACAAATCCATTGTTGTACTGTACAGTTCTATGGTCCCACGTCGATGCACTACGCCTTCGTCAACATGCATAGACCAGCGTGGTAAAATATGGTCAAATAACTCTCAAAACCTGCGCAGACATTGGGAGGCCCTCATCCAGTAGTGGATCGATAAAAGGGCTGCATATACACATTAAGACCAGAAAGGTTTTTCTTCCTGTAACAAAAATTTAAATGTATCGTCAATGTGAAACATTGCTACTGTTGAATTTCTTTAAAAAAAATCTTCCTTCGAGCCGGATTTGAACCAGCGACCTAAGGATGCCCAACAGCGATCAGCCACTACAGTCCTCCGCTCTACCAACTGAGCTATCGAAGGCAGGACAACCATGCCCACCAGGTTCAACTTGAAATATATAAATTTTGATTTAAAGCTTTCGTGACTGCAGTGATTCATATTCTTGGTTCTTTCGGTAAAGTCACGTTGAAGGGAAACAATAAAATAATAAAATAAATGTGAAACAATTAAATTCTCACGACGTTTCGACTGCAACACAAGCAGTCATCATCAGGTGTGAAAACCACGTTAATAAATCATCATCATCAGCCAGGGTGAGTCAACTGTTGGATGAAGGCCTCTTCAAGTCGCCGCCACCTCTCAGGATCCTGCAATGTAATCATAATCGTTGAGTACATTTGGTAATCATGCCATTCTTACAGTGCAATGCTATGTTGAACTCCTTTCACACCGTACGTAACCTATCTTACTAATCGGAGGTGCAGGGGAAGGACAACAAACTAAACACACAAACTTGATTTGAAGCTTTCGTGACTGCAGGAATCCATACTCTTTAGTTCTTTCAGTAAAGTCATCACTAGTCCCGGCCATTTCTTTATGACCCTTGGGCGACACCCATTTCAAACCTTTTAAAACAGTCTGCCTCAGCAGCAGACCATGCTTTCCCACCTGATGACGGACGCTTGTGTTGCGCCCGAAACGTCGTGATTTATTTTATTTTATACCTACGTGACTTTACCGAAAGAACCAAAGAGTATAAACACACAAAACGCAGTTCTATCACGAAAGCGCTACGTTTCCCATACTCTGCAGTATCTTCACAGTACTGTAGTAGACAATGTTTGCCGTGTGTCATCCCAGTGGAGGAACGCGAGGGATTTTTTTGTTCAAATTTGGGAAAATTTGGACCATGCACCGGCACTTAATGGCTTGACCCCTTTCGAATGACATCAGGGGGATCTTAAACATCCACGTGTTAAACTGACCCACTGTGAAGCACCCATTGTAAACAGTGTACGCCTGCAGAGAGAACTAAGGCGACCAGTTTCGAACCGCGAACATCTGCATAGACTGTTGGGGAAAGTACTGTTTGCGATTAGCACCCATGAGGTTCGGCACGACACACGTGGGTTTGGGTGTCCCCAAGACCACGCCTGACCGCCTATTGTCTCCCCAGTGGCGATGTTTACACACCGCGCCAGGTACTCACTTGAGACTGCACCTGCAACGCGAGCTGATTTCATTGCTCCGTCTCCTCAGTCAACATCCTCTCGGACGCATTCCATTCATTGGCTGCCACTCCATCATGATACTTAAACCACGGGCCATCATCCCTTGCAAGGCACGTGTCCTGTACAAGCCCACTTACTTTACTCTCGTCAATATAAATGAAATACGATACTACAGTACTAATAATACACATTCTTTCTCCCCTCCAACCCCGCCCATGCTCGTCAAAATCTAGAGCATCAGTCTTGTCCTCACACCGAGAAAATCAATTCTCTTTGTCCATTGCGAGCGTGGCCGTCCAGAGGGTGGGGCAAATAAGGGGACATTTTGCCCCGTGCCATGAGGCATTTGGATGGTGAAATAAGGGGACCCCCCCCCCCCCCAATTTTGCATTCTGCACTGGATCGCGAGAAGCATTTGGGCGGCTCTGAATGTGCGTGCAGTGTTTATAAGTGGACCGTCATCCCCCCTATAATTACGCTTGCCCCCCCCCCCCCTCACTCAAAAATGATGTTAGTCAGTTTAACACGAAGGCTTTCGCGACCAATATTATCCAAACAAAAACGTCTATTATGTGAAAAAATATATTGATATATTTTTCTTCTTCTTCTAGAAACATCCAACTCTACCTGTGTGGCTATAAAGGTTGTAAAAGGGTGTGTCGGTGGGACGTCACGATACAGGTTAGACAAGTGAAAGGCAATTCTTCACCCGGCCCAGCTGTTGAGCACATCAGCCGGTTGCTCCCTCATTGTCCCGGGTGGGATATATATATGTTTTACAATTTTGACAGCTGTACCTACAGTAGCAATGACGTGCTTGGCATTAGAATGAATGGGTGCGGGTAGTTGAACGCCTCTCCATCTGTAGAGGCATTGTGGTTGTGGTCAAAAGTCTTTGAGCGAAAACATTTTTACATGGGATATTTGAACTGGGAGAGTACCCGCTCGTTCTAGCAAAGCATTGCTATTGCGCAGGTTTGCGCGGGTGTGCTGCGTAGCTCTCTGATGTGTTCACTCTACCGTAAAGGAAGCTCCTTCTTCAAGAACTCTGATCTCGGATCCTAAGTCGGCTTGAGCCTGGATAAGCGGGGACCAACCACGCACCACAAATGTTATAGGCTGTACAGGGATGCACTGTGGACAGCAGGGGGGCATTGTGCCAAGATCCCGACACGCACGCCAACTTCAGAGCAGCGCACACCGAGCAGCGTGGTAGATAAAGCACTGCCAATTAAATTCCCACGGCACGAAATGACATGGGCTGTAACGTATTATTGGCATTAACTTAACATTGAAACAAAATTATTCAAATGAATGCACAAACACATTTACATAAATGTTAGTGTCATGCAATAAATAGCGACGTTAAAAGAGATAGAAAAGAAAATGTTTAATAAAAAAAATACATCCTCCTTCGAGCCGGATTTGAACCAGCGACCTAAGGATTCCTCACGGCGATTCAGCCACTACAGTCCTCCGCTCTACCAACTGAGCTATCGAAGGTGACGCTGAGAGCACCTGTGCACACAGTCTATCAGGTGAGCCTAGGATAGTGAACGCCATGCACCGAGTGTGGAATCAACAATCCAAATTTCTCAACACTTCCTACACACGCGTGTGCGGTGTTTGTCAATTTAAAGCCCCTTCCTCTCCACGTCGGTGGGTCATGGGGTTGTTTGACCATACTTCACCACGCTGGTAAACGCATATTGGTGAAGGGGCGTGTGGGTAGGAGTCTGGGGAGAGGGGCCAGGAACGGGAATCAAACTCAGGAGGCTGTGTTCACGGTGCAGTGCGCTAACCACCGGTCCGCCCCGGAGAATGTTTATACAAAGAACCCACCCAGCCCCACTTAGGCTTTGTAGACTCTTGGGGTGAGTGCTGTTATCAAGCATCATCTAGTCACAACACACGGCCGCCTTTGCCTCCCCAATGGTGATTTTTTTTAAATCTATATGAGTGCCAATAAACTGCAACTTGAATCACTACCTATGAGATCTTCACTCAAAACTGCTCTAGAGGAGTTGTACAACCCTAGCTGCCATGGCTCTAGATTTTGGTGTTATAATTTATTTATGTAGTTTATTGTTAAAAATTCGGTCACAGTCCCTATGATCACTGTTACATTGGATTTATGGCTTTTATTTTGGTGATTTGAAAAGTTTTTTTTTGTTTTGGCCATGTTTTTGTTTATTGTAGTACGGAGTTAGATTGATGGCTTTAATCTTAGTTGTCTTGTGGTTGTTGTTGTTATTTGACTTGCATCCCACTGGAATTTTTGCACACAGCGTTGGTGTACGGTGCTATTTCAGGAATATTTTGATATTTTTTCCTGTATTTTCTGTTTGCACAGTCACAAAATCACTTTAAGATGTTTTCTTGTTCATGTTTTTTGTTTGTTGCGGTTGCACCCGATTCAAGAGCCGAATGGCTCACAGGGCTATACCATATAAATGAACTATGAACTAACTATGAACTATTTAAGGCTGAGTCGACCAACGGTTCAGATATCGCCATGATGGCTGGGCGGAAAAACAACTATGGTTTACTCGGTGCGCTCATCACTGCGCCACCGATCCAAAGACAAAGATCCCCCGTATAGCCTTAACAGACTGTAGGGGCAAGTGCTGCTAGCGAGCACCTACGACGGCCGGAACGGTTCACGAAAGGGTGGTTGGCCAGCACCACGCCCGACCGCCTTTGTCTCCCCAGTGGCGATGTTTACACACCGCACCAGGTACTCATTTGGGGCTGAGTGCACCTAAGGGGAGGCCCAGGACCGGTTCAGATCATTGTCACCGGTGTTGGCCGTGAGCTGGAATCGAACTCGGGTTGCCGGGTCCGTAGCGCAGCGCGCTAACCGCTACACCACCGCTCCCCACACACGCAACACGGGGGGGGGGGGGGATGGGAGAGAGACGGGGGGGGGGGTTTGATTAACATAATTAACGTCGGATGGGAGGGGCATGGCGGGGAGATGGGCGGGGCATGGCATGGAGATGGGCGGAGCCTCCGCCTCGTCCTGCCAGCAGCATCAGCTGAGCGCTGCGCAAACGGTGGCTGCTCTTGATGCGATTGCTGCCGATGCTGCCAATGCTGCCGATGCCGCTACTGCTACTGCTGCTGTTGCGTCGGAATGCACTGGGGAAGGTAGCACTGGACGAGCCCATGTGTTAGCCATCGTCAGCATCATCATCAACATCATCACCACCACCACCATCATCAACAACATCAACGTCGTCGATGGAGTTGCAGCTGATGATGCTGCTCCAGCTGATGCTGCTGCTGCTGATGCTGCTGCTGTGTGCTGCGACCGGGAGCGCGGAGTACTCGGCGGACCAGTGCAGCTGGAGGGGAAGGTGAGAGGTGCTCGCAAACACAGTGGAGTTTTTTTAAATCACAGTAGTTGGTAAAAAAAAAACAAAGTTTGGCGGTGTTGTTGGTGGTGGTTGTTGTACAGCGCGATCCATTTATAGATACCCCGTTAAAAGAACCCTGCGATATTTATAAAGAGGACCGCATTTAATTTCGAAGCAGCTACGGGTGGGGGAGTCAGTTTTAATTACGGTTAACAGCAGCGTCGTTGTTCGAAATCGCCAATTACGTTGCGAGTGCGGTTACGAATCAAATTCAAGGTGATTCGTAAGAGAGGCTGCGCCACGATCTCGTGCACGGCATTCGATCCCCTGATGAGACGAAAGTTGGAAGGGGTCATAAATCGGCAGGGTGTCTATAAATGGATCACCCTGTAATTTTGGGCAGTGTGATATGTAAGAGCTTTGCACGCGCACACGGCCACACGTACACACGCGCAATGTTGTATACTATATGTTGAACTTCTTTCGCACCGTACGTAGTTTAACCGTGCAGGAGAGTGCAGTGCTGGTTTCCCTAGGTGGTGCAAGCCCACTCTCACTGGCGGTCGTGAGGATAATTATTGTAGCCTGCTTGTGAGCGAGTGCGTGATGAATGTACTCAACCTTGGAGGGAACAAGGTCCAGAAAAGGACGAGAAGCCGGGAGGGTCAGGGACAGGGAGGTCAAGAGAAGGGGGGGAGGGCATCCAGATTAGACGGGGAGGGACGGACAAGGGACATGCATGGTGAGAATTATGGAGGACAGGAACATCTTCATTTTATTTCTTATTCCACTTATTTATCCAGGAAAGCCGCACCGAGTCTTGCCTCTCAATATATCTTACACGATAGATAGACAAGGCAGGAGACGGCTATAGGATGAATAATAATACACCAGCATGCAGGCAAGAGACTGGGAGACGAGGGCTGTGAGTTCCAGACAGCAGAGAAGTTCTGTACAAACAGACGTCTGTACAAATAGATGTCTGCACAAACAGACGTTTGAAAGACGAGTCCAATGGAATGGACGGTCAAGGTACGGCCACTGGTGTTCGTTCGTTGGGTGGTTTGTAGGAAAAGTCGTTCTGTTGGAACCTCTCTCAGCTGGAGCTTTTAAAGATGCAGACAAATGTCCTTTAAAGCCAGAATCTAGGAGCCCTCCCCTGCTCAGATGCAATGTGGCACCTCATGCACAATGCTGTTTTGCGGTGGTAATGAGCACAGAGATAACATTTGCAATTTGTATTTTACATTATAATGATTATATACTGCACATATTGACCGGTGTCACAGTGATAAGCGCCCTGAACCTGGCGATCTGAGTTTGAATCCTGACCACGGCTAATAATAACGGCGCCGAGTGATAGCTTAACCGGTTTGGGGTTGAAGAACACTTAGGTTATTTGTGTTATAACTAGAACCTGTACATCATGGTAGAGTAGATTGTTGGGGGAAAAATACTTATATTTGCATATTTTGATTGTGTGTGTGTGTGAGACTAAGATAATTCGCCAGCAAGTTCGGCTTTGAATGAATCTGCTATCTGTTGCACAGTACCGAAAGCAATGTTTGCAAAGTAAAACTGTGGATTGTCACTTTTTTTTTCAATTCAGTCTGGCTTCTTTTAAAAGCAGTAATTACAAAAATAAGAAAAATGGTGGTGGTGTGTTTTTTGTTGTTGTTGTAATTTGGCGCGTTCGGTTTGCGCGCCCAAACTAGCCGACGTAAATGAATTCTTTCTGCTGGAGCGGCGGGAGAGGCCATTCATTGTCTTGGCGACGGAACGGACTTTTGTCTTTAAAGTCCTGGAGACGGCTTAGAGAAGCCAAGACGAAGAATTTAATTACTGCAGCCTCGCTCGCCGGGAAAACCAATATACTTTGTGAGGGGTCCAAGGGAATGCTTATTGAAGGAGCAACTACATACTTTTCACTCTTCACATCTGCTAATGGTGCGTCAGGTGTCCCTTGGAATTCATAATCGCTGTTATGATAATGGAATATTATTTGCCCAGGAGAGCCTCACCTAAGTTTCAAGATTCATGTTCAGGGTTATTCTTGCATTAGGTTGTTTTTGTTGATGCCATTTTAATGAGACTTTGGAAGCCCATGCAACATGAGAAGGTGGCACTGAAAGCTCCGCACAAATGGATTAAATAATCCGTTGCTCTGTTGCCATCATCTGCCTGGCCACCTCAGTCCAAGCCTACAACACATGGTATTTGAAGGAGGTCTCTTGTACAAGTACTAGCCAGGCTCAAATTGGCTCATCTTCTGACATCCAAATATATTGGGTGCATTCAGGGTGGTTTATAATGTTTATCAAAATGTGCGTTTAGAGCATAGGTAAATAGGTAAATGTAACATGCTTTGTAATGATTTTATTTTCATGTTAGTGTATTACACTGCATTCACCTTATTCAGTTTATTTCACAGAAGAAATCTATTCTTAAATCACAACACTCAAATCAAGATTTAACACTAAATTTGATAATTAATAGAATCGCTCCAGGAAGTTGAACTGTTGCCCAATCCCCTTAGTCACGAAAACAATTCCCTCTTTGTGTCCCATCACCAGCAGCCTAATACACAAGCTCGTGAAACATTACAAACAAGAACGGTAAAACGAGCTTAAATTTAATTGCAACCGTGAATCGTGACGATTTATGGAATTGCTCCAGGCATGCTTGAACAATTACCCACCTCCCTAGCTGATAACGCACCTTCCTCTTTACTACCAGTGGCCCGACGACGTGACCCTGAGAATCACACAAGAGGGTAAAAACAAGCCAAACAAATATTATCCATCCTTACTCAAATCAAGTCGCAACCCTGAATCACGACAACTTATTGAATCCCTCCGGGGGTACTTTAAACCATCACCCATGCCCCCAGTCGCTAACGCTCCCTCTCCTCCGTGCGCCACTGCCAGCGGCCTGACGCACGAGCCTGGTTCGCGGTCCGTGGAGCAGCTCTACCTGCGCTGCTCGGAGGGCTCCATCGAGTGGCTCTACCCGAGCGGCGCGCTGCGCCTCGTCCTCAAGCCCAACGTGCCGCCTGCCTTCCCGGGGGCGGCCGCCGCCGTCGCCTGCATCAAGCCCTCCGAGGGCTTCCACGGCGCCAGCGTGTACGCCGACCGGGACGGCGCGCTGCAGCTCGTGATGAGCGAGCGGGACGCGCGCGCCGACAGGACGTACTGCCTGCGCGCGGCGCCCGGCCGTCCGCTGGCCATCTTCGTGCAGGCCACGCCGCAGACGGACATCAGCAGGAAGGTGGCGGCGTTTCGCTACGAGCTGAGGGTGGGCGTCGGCGACGGTGGTGGTGATGGTGGTGGTGGCGGCGGTGGGGCCTCCGACCTGCAGAGCTTCATCAGATCCAGAGGTAGGAGACTGTGATGGGGCCTGCCTCGCCACCCCCACCTTGCTTCCCGTCTCGTCCCCAAGCAGACATTTGCGACGTCGGTGTGCACAATTGTCTTTGTAGGTCAATTTTCATTCGTGACGAGAGGTGAACAGTTCAAATCAAGATTAAGTTCACTCTGGGTTCGGGGTGCTTTGTCGGCACCGCTGAGATCGTGGGTTTTAATGTAGGTGTCTGCCACCCGGGGATTAAACCGGTTTCTCAGGTGTAGTGTCTGGAAGGTCTCAGACCATGCAGAAATTGCTGCACGAAAGATTATCCCGTTACATTTGTTTTTTTTTTCATTTTGGAAAAAATATTCCACCTCCTGGGGCTTGAACTTAAATCAAGCTTGGGGATGAACAGTCCTCTCAGGGCATTACAAGGTGTGCCCCTGGTGTGTATAAAGAGGGTTTTTGACGTGACTTCACAGGTAGTTCCAGAGCTATTGTTTGACAGGGTGATGCACTGATAACAGCATTGTTCCAAACGGCAATTTAAAAATGTCAATTTCTGATGTACCAACTTCGGCTCCTTTCGTAACATTAACTGTACTACTCTGCCGCTCCTGCCACTTTACTATCTGCACCACACCAGACAATCTCCTCTCGGTCCCCACACTGCCTGGGTTTATCTGACTGCCTTCACCTTGGCTCATTACCCATTGTTTCTGCATTCTACTTTATTGTGAGCAAATACCTTTATTGAGTCTGAGCCTAATCATCTCGCGATTCAGAAACCCGCTTAAAATCCAGATACCATGTAAAACATTAACGAGAACGGTAGTGAATGCACCACGGTGATACGACCGGTGCCTTGGCTCGTCACCGTCGCGGTCTTCATGTTTATAAAGCGTGCATGACTTGTGAGGCGGACGAGTGCCATGGCTCTAGTACGCTCCGACCGCTCGCTCTGTGCGAAAGTGTGCAATAAAATGTTGTACTGTACTGTGTTTTACCAACTGAAAATGTGCTTTTTATTTTTCTATTATGACTGAATGAACGTGCAAATGCCACGAAATAATAAAAGTTATATTTTTCTATCAAATGTCGCATTTTTTTGTGTTTATGAACGTAAGCTTTTCAGTTTTAACCTTTTTAATTTTGTCCTGGTATAAATGGGTCTGACTGTCAAGTTCTGTAACGAAGTGGCAGGTCCATGGCTCTAGCTCCCTCCATCCCCTCCAATCCCTCTCCCCCTCTTCATATCACAGCGCCGCTCTCCACAAGGCTAATGATCCATAACTAGGGAAGGGCATTTGAAGTGCCTTCCCTTTCCCCTCTGCAGTGTTTTTTTTTAGGTGACACCATTACCTTGTGGGGTTTAATGTCCTAATACATGGGTACGCTTGGTTATTCGCAATTAAAAATGTTTCGCGTTTATTTTTTTTATTTTACATGCTTAGTAGGTCACTTGCGGTCAGATGAAATGCATGTATGACAGAGAGATGGCTCGGATGGCAAAAACTTGCATCCTGTCTTTGAGCTAATACCACAGATTGCAGTGCTAAATTAAGAGTCCCCCCCACCCATGATTAAACCCGGTTCCAAAGTGCAGCAGCAAGTTGATGGTCAGCCTTTTTACCGATGACTTCGCAAAAACACCATTGTATAGAATGCTGTGTTCACTTCACTGGGCCATGCCTGGCTTTAACTGTGGATCATGGAATGATATATACTTTTACAATGCACCTATAGGGAATTCAGTTTCATAGTGGTAGCTGAAAAGAGACGTATCCAGTTTCAATGGACTCTCACCTGCCCATTGAAACCAGAGATAAAGGTCATCCATCTTACCTTCCTGCTCATACGGGGCTTTTGCAGACGTCAAATTTGTGGGGATGTCATCCAGGGAAGTTCTGCCAAGTAACTTCATGCTCCGCTATCATAACAACAACAGCTTACATTTGTAGTGCACCAATAGTATACCGGTCGTCTCAGAGAATGGAACCGATTTCTTAACTTCGTGCCTTGACTCCGGGAGAACGCTTAGGATTATTCGGTTAATGTTTCTTTTAACATGTAAAGTGGCATGAAGTGTTTTCAGGTAACACTCACCCGCTATGTATAATGTACAATAGCTTCATATCCATTAGGTGTTTTGTTGTTGTTTATCACAGTTTGTAGAGGTCTGTAATGCGATAGAGCCAGCAATGAAGAGCACTGATGGTAATAGACCAAATTAAATGCTAACGAGATTAGTTCAAACTGAGCAAAGTAATTGGAACTTGGTGAAAGAGACGATGGGACGATGTTCTGAACTCGAGTAAGTACGCGGAACAAAATATGCGAACGATGTGTTTGCTTCCTTACAAAAATGGTAGCCAAACACGGTGGGGATGAGAGGAAACAGAAGCAAATTGAACGTGGGAAGGGGATCGTGGAACAGCGTTTGAGACAGGCCATTCCGAAGTGCGGTGGTTGTGGAGGATAGACGTGCGACTATCTTGCAGGGCCAGGCATGCCACAGCAGGACAGGCTCTGGCCTGCGCTGCGGTTATGGTGCAGCATCACTTAATTTTGCACTCAACACTGAACATCCCAGCAACGTGATAGACATTGCCCAGACTAGTTTCTCCGGTCGCTTCTGCCAAACGTCGATTAAAAATGCACTCAAGTCTCGAGCTTTGCTTCATTGCCGGCCACCTGCATATGTGCTCTGTAAAAAAAAGGGGCAAAATGGTGCATCGCCGCAAATGTTTGCTCACGCTGCTGTTAGTGGAAGAGTCTCCACGAGAGGGATCTCCAGAGAAGCCCCTCTAGAGAGGGCCATTTTGACCAACTCTTCCAATATTGGCCAAACGTTTCGGAAGAGACACTTTGGCCCACCACACGCGACCTGACAGGCACCGATTTACACTGCTGGATGGGCAGACAGCAGGGGGTGGGGGGATTTAAAAACCTGTTCCATTGTTCCGACTGTCGTGCCAAGATATTGGCATCGGCAACCTTTGTGCAGGATCGGATCGCTGTGCTTCTTGGGAATTATACTTCACCTTGCAATTGTAAGCTAGAACAAGTGTGCCAAGTGTGTTAAGATTGTCATTTGCGCTGCAAAGGTGGCCAGTAGGTGGCAGGGGTTTTGGATTTTTTTCTGGATGCCCTCTTCTTTTCGCACGTGAAATCAATATTTCAAAATAGGTTATGAATGGAATCGGACAGGTTTTGTGTTTTCTTTTTCATTGTTATTTTGGTAATACTTCTGTGTAGGTTTTCACGGTTGTGCCAGTTAGCTCTCTGATGTGTTTTCGAGTTGCACCTCATGTTGTTCGACATGATTTCTAAAGTTTCGCCACACGTGCTGGGAGCTACCCAGCACGGTAACCTCCCCAAAAAAAATACAAATCAGAGATTCTATTTTTTGTTTGGAACTTATCTCCATTTTGATTTGGTGACCCAGGTCACCTTTGAAAACGAAAAGTTTCGTCTCAATTGGCTTTCACCTGGGCATAAATAAAGTGCGTACAGCACCGCAGTGTGGCCGAGCGAATGAATGGGCATGGCGGTGCATGCTGTACGGTTTTATAGCCAATTGGCATTCGCTCAAATCGGCACCGCGCCTAGGATGTGCCGCTGCTGCTCCTCGTCTCAAAGGGACCCCGAGGCACAATGACGTAAGGGTTGGATGGAGGGAGGGAAGGCCACAAGTGGGGCCTTCATAGCCCCCTGCAGGTCTCGGGAAGCATTCCAACGGCAAGGGCGCCCCTTCAGACATGCGCACAAGGGGATGGAAAATTGCGTCCCACAATAGAGACGTTCTGTAATTGTCCTCGTAATTACCGTATAAGGATGATAAAAATGGTAATTAAGGGGTCCTCTTTGACGATTTATAAGATAAGGGATTTAATTGTATTTAGATGGAGTGAGATGAAAGAACAGATCCAGACAGCAAATGAGGGAGAATAATTTTCTGCTTTATGTTAATTAACATGTGATCTTTAATAGGGTTTCAATTTGAGATGATATTTAATTCACCCCTATTATTCATGAATATGAGGTCCCTTGATCTCCTTGGGACTCTCAGCTTTTACTCTGTTTTCTTGTGGGACTCTCAGATTTTACTCTGTTTTCTTGTGCCGAGCACCACCACTGGTTAAGGATGTAACGATTCACCCCACTTGCGATGAAATGGTCAGGATTCAAGGTAGCGATTTTATTCGCTAACCAATTATATTTCGATTTGAAGCTTTCGTGACTGCAAGGATTCATCTTCTTTAGTGCTACAATGTAGCTCTGTCGTCCCGACAGGTTTGTTCCTTTCACCTGAAGAAGGCCACTTGTGTTGTGGCTGAAACGTCGTGAGAATTTTATTGTTTGATTTTATTATTTTATTCTCATTCTACGTGACTTTACCGAAAGAACCAAAGAAGATGAACCAATTATATGTTTTACATTTTTCTAACATATCCGGCCTTTAGTGACTGGAGGGGTCAAGTGAACCCATTACACACTATATATTTTTAAAAACCGCGTTAATTTCGATGCTTGTATCGTGAGCTGAAGCAACGATATCAATCGATTGATTCATGCATCGTTAGCACCCCTAGTGGTAGTTCTTGAACTTTTTTCAAAGTTTTTCCCAGAAACTGCTTAAAGTGTTTTAATTGACACTCAATGTTTGTTAAGTCAAAGTGCTGCGATCTTCATTCACATACCGGGGCAGCGCTAATATTTGTTGGCATTTTAGAGCCAAAATCGGAAATTCCACATCACCAAGGCAGAGGCCATTCTCACCGCTAGATAACTCTTGCTTGACTTCCCACAAAGTAGTCCTAATTTTTTGACCATTGATTGGCGATAAGGCTGGTGAATCTCTGAGTCAAGTTATATAGCCGCAAGTGCCACCCACAAGGACCGATGTTAATCATATATACGAACACAAAATGAGATGAACACAGCATGCTGGCGGTTCTCTTACAAACTTCGAGCTGTTTCAAAATCTCACAGATGTAACCGGCTAATGTTTACATAATTTAGCCTTGC